ACTATTGTAAAATATAAACATATACCGGGTGTTTGATAAGTCCCTAGACAGGACCTTTTTTATATCTCTGCTTATATTAGTTTTTTTTTTTTATTTTATACCAGTATTTAGCATTAGTGATTTATTTATTGATTTTGGTAATTTATTTAATGATCAATAAAAAGGTTCTGTCCAGGGACTTATCAAGCACCCGGTATACCACAGATATTTTTATTACTCAATTTTGTACCTGGCTAGGGTGGCTGGTACATCAAAAAAAATTTGACATGCCATAGGGCATGTCTTTGTTAAAATTTGTGCTATGGCATCCATAAAATGTTATACATTATTTGGGCTGTCATCAATAGAAATCAGGCAGATCTACATTTGAAAAAAAATTAACGCCTTGACTTTCACAGCTCATAACTCAATGGATTTTAAAGCTATCTTGATGGTTTGATATTCAAAAGAATGCTTATGATCTATGAATTCTTTTAAATATTAAATCATCAAGATAGCTTTAAAATCTATTGAGATATGAGCTGTGAAAGTTAAGGCATTAATTTTTTTTCAAATGTAGATTTACCTGATTTCTATTGACGGCAGCCCATTTATAATACTATATATACAGTTTGAACATTGTAAGTATAATTTTTATACTTTATCTAGTGGCATGCCAAATACCCTAGATATGCCATATTAAGACAATATGTTTTACTATATCAACCTGGAATAATACATATAATGTACCTAGGTATAAATTACCAACTAGCTCTTAAAACTAGTAGAGGGTACACACCATGAGTACACATGTTCATATTTTACAGTAATTTATTAAAAAAAATAAACACTATAGTTTTATGTTTGAATTTACTATACTATAAAAAGATTTGGTTTATAACTATTTAATTTTTTATTTATAAACTTTTAAAAAATGTGTGTATTATTTGTGACAGTGTACTATAGGTTACATATATTTATGTGCATATATAGAATGAACGCAAGCTGTAAAGGTTTAAGTTTTATATTAGTTCGGTATGGTAAGTTGTTTTCAGTTCGTCATAAAAAAAAAGTTGACATAGGGATAGCAAATGTTTTAAAACATTATTTTAGAACAAATGATTGTTTTGTTTTTAATTGTTTAAAAATGTTTCAAAATGTTTTTTAATCAAAATTTACTGGCCAAAGTGCAATAATTTATTTTAAACTCTGACCAAGTGTTGCGAAAATTTGACTTTAGAATTTGTGTTATTTCAAATTATTGGGGCTTGATCGGAGTTTTAAACTCTGACTAAGTGTCACTTTAAATTTTAATATCAGCTTTGATGTTTTAAAACTTTTTTTAAACAATTAAAAACATATAAAAAACGTTTTAAACCATTTTTTACACAGGTCGAAAGATAAAAAATCAGGCACAAATCAGGTACCCGATTTTAAACTGATTAATACCTGATTACCACCTTATTTATGCATATTTTTGTACCAAAAATTTGGTACAAAAATATGCATAAATCAGATGGTAATCAGGTAGTAATCAGTTTAAAATCGGGTACCTGATTTGTACCTGATTTGTACCTGATTTTTTATCTTTCAACCTATGTTACCATCCCTAAGTTGACGTAAATTTTGGATCTGACTATTGCACATATATCAATAGTGTTCATAATATTGCATATATGCACATATATTCCGCAATATACAAGTGGATATTTTACGAGCTTTTTTAAAAAAATTGATGTTATAGTGTAACTGATTTCGATTAATTATATAAAGCATAATTGAAAATTCACTTTAAAAGTGTCCTTAAAATGAACTGCTATACTTATCAAAATTTTCAAAATTTTTATAGATTTAATCACATGTTTCGTCAAAATTTCACACCAAAGAAATTATATTTAGTCCGAAATTTGAGAACCCAATTAATTAAATGATTAAAAAAGTAAACCATAAATCTAAAAGAGGCTTTTAGATTTACTATTTTTGCGGTTTATATTTTTAATACCACTTAAATTAAAAGACAAGGTGTTACTGTATTTGAAATTATATGGATTTTTTTTGATGACTATAAGTGACGTGAACATACCATATTGTTGTACAGACGCCTATTTCGCAGAATTAACTATATCTTGACATAAAGTGCATATGTGTACAGTCCACTATAGCACCCGGTTAGTGTCAAAGATTACTGTATTGGCGCGTAATAATGCGCATCTGCGCGATATTTTGGGACATGCATGCGTGACAAGAGGAAGCTCTACTTTTAATAATGAACTTAGCCTAAAAAATTCGATCAAATATGTAATTTGGTGCATTTAAGGGGCGCATTATTTTGGGACGCATTATTTTGAATCAAAAAACCAATTTTCAAAAAATGAGAGTTTCGAAATAACACCCATGTGCGTTATTATACGCCAATACGGTATTTACCATTTTTGAAAATATTACATACAGAAGTTATTTTGAAAAACCTTTGCTTAAAAAATCAATCTATGGATCCCATGTGCATGCTTGAAATAGCACACAAATGCCTGCTATTTTGAGAATTTACGGTATATATGTAATCAGTGTTGGTAATTTTCTTGGCCATGCACTCAATGTCAGAAGTATATGCTAATGAAAAAAGTAATCCACACAAATTGTGAAAGCACGTCGAGTATAAAAAAATGATTAGATCAAGACTTGACCATACCTTACACAAATGAGAACGGGCTACAAAATCACCGTAATAAACCACATCATCCAAAAACATTGCTACGGGTGAATCGTATGATCGATAATCTATACACTAAAGTATAGACTTTCATCAGGAATATTTTTTGTATTCAGATCTGAGATAGTTTTTAAAAGATAGAATTTTTTAAATCAGATCTGCAAAAATATTAAAATACAGATATGAGTAAAATTCAGATAATGCTTGCGTCAGATGTCAACTTTTTTGGCCCGCATTAACTGATCGATATTGATTGACCTAAATTAAGCCCAAATCCTTCCCAGATTCTTCCCTAACTTAGGCCGATTGACATCTGAGGCAAGCGTTAGTCTGAGGCACGACATATATAAATTATTAAATATTTGTGCAGTTATGTGATAAAAAATTATCTCGATGTTATGATATAAGGCAACTCTCCAGAGGCGTGACGTTGGTGATTTGGTCATATAATGAAAGGAAATTATTATTAAGTTAGTGAGCTTATGTGCCCCTACCTCTCACATAAGTGTTGTAACCGACCTTAACTAAGTTACGTCCTTTTTATAACTTAAAGGACTTTATAGTGACATGATCTTTTATCACGACATCAGATGATAAATTATCTAATACTCCACAGTTGAATTACGAACCAGTTTGTCTATTATGTCACCTTTACCCCGTGACAACATCAAGAAAATATGAAAAATGCGATATACACAAAAGGATAGGATCAAATACTACTATTGCGAATAATGAATTTTACGAAATAAAAATCAAATCATAATTTAAAGTCATCAAAGTATGATCAAAATATAACAGTATGTAAAAATATTCAAACAATCGCTTAATTGCAGAAATGAATCGATACACATACGTGCCTCAATGTTTTTTTTAAAAAAAAAGAAAAAAGAAATAAAGAAATGTCTTAAAAAAAATTTTATTAAGAGACAATTCTTGTAAAAACATCGTTTTTGATACCCAAATAATAATAATGCAAAAAAAAAAAACTCATCGTGGGTATCGTGATTTAGGATAAGATATTCAAATAGATATGAAGTATCTACATATCATTCTTTTCAGCAGTGTAAAAAGTTCAGGTTTTTAATAAAATAAGAAAACTTCATGTGCGATCCGCTTTTCAACTCAAAATCACACTGGCTATATCTACATTGGATTCTCAATAGTCAAGAATTGTACTCAGTGACGAAGATACCTCTAATAGCTAACAATTATTTCCAAAGGTTTGAGATCATCTTTCCAAACATATATTTGAACATGATGCGCATGTCACGTCATATTGATTGAGAATCTTTTTAAGGCAAGTCAATAAACGTAATTCGTGATTGAAATGTAAAAAAAAAAAAAAAAAGGTAATTTTACAATAAAGAAATCGGAACTTCATATAGTTTTTTTTATAGTACAAGAATGTGGCTGTGTATACCTTTTTAAACTAAGTTTAGAAATCATTATATTCTATAGCGGTCACGGATCATGTCCATTAATCCAATAGGCAATTGTCAATTTATAAGATCATCATTGAGATTTTTTACTGTTTTACTTAGACTAGTGATGTTTTATTTATATGATTGGTCCATAAATTATATGTTGACCTTTCACTAAACTAAATAATAATATAATGTAGGTTCGTCTTTCATTAATTATTCATTTTAGATATTTTTATGGATATTGCAATGTAAAAGAAACTTTCGATTAAAGTTATGGAACAAAATTATACATGTGATTATATCACATGTTTATTCGGATAGTTTAACGGTCATGGATTAACGATAACGATAACGCTAATCTACTATCTGTCCGGTTTATAATTAATCTTATTAGTCAATTTGCAATGACATACGAACGTGCCAATCTACTAATAATATAAGCCAATAAAATTAAAATATAATATATAATCCAAATCTTAACGCACAGCAATTGTGCAACGCTAACCCTAGTTCTTTTTACCATTTAGTTGGCAAATTTGCCTTCAAATAGAGTGCAGTAAATTGGCACTGTAATCATAAAGTATTATTGAATTCGAACTAGAACTACCAATAACTCCTCATTATAGTAGAGTGATTCTCTACAATAATTTAAATTTATTATTATTATGCTATATAATGCCATAACAAATATTAATTATAGTAAGGGTGAACTGTATCTAAAATACATCCCGTTCCTGGTTTCAGCGCGACAACGTCGCGCAGCTACCTAATTGAACTAACCCAGCTGAAGGCTGATTTTCCATAAAAAATAAAAAACTCTAATACTTTATTAAATAATCAACAATTTCAGATAAAAAATTCTTTCTTCTTTAGAAGATTTTCTAATATCAATGTTCAATATTGAGTTTATCTTCTAAATTTTTACATAATTTAAATTCTTTGTCTAACATATCTTTAGATTCCATAAACCTGGGAATTACAAACCATTTTGCTTTTGATTTTTTTATTTTTAATATTTCTTTTCTGTTATCATTTTCAATTATTATTTCTATCATTTCATTTTTTTTGTCATTAATATTCTTGTTTGACCGATGTGAATAAGTGATATACTGAAATAATCCGGTTTCCAGAATATTGGCATAAATTCTTGCATAATTAATAAGACCTTCGGCTATAATTTTTGTTCCTGGGATCTTCATAGGATTTTTTTCAATCCTGTCGATTTTTTTCATTATAAATCTTTTGTTAACTGGTTTTTTAAAACTTTCAGAGATAATATTTTTTACAATACTACATTTATATTTTTTATTTTTTCCGTTCTCATTTCCACTACTGGACTGTTTGGACTGTTCATTTCCGCTACTGGACTGTTTGGACTGTTCATTTCCGCTACTGGACTGTTCGATAATCAAATTTTCACTACTGGACTGTTCGATAATCAAATTTTCACTACTGGACTGTTTGGACCGTTCATTTCCACTACTGGACTGTTCGGTAATAGAATTTTCCTCATTTCCACTACTGGACTGTTCGGTAATCGAATTTTCCTCATTTCCACTACCAGACTGTTCGATACTCATCAAATATTTCTCATCTTCACCACCGGACTGTTCGATAAGTTTTTTATAAAAGGATCTGACTTTCTCGTATTCTTTATTTTCGTAAAAACTTTTAACGTTTTTAACATATTCAATTGCATCTAAGTTTTCTGAATCAACTTCTACATAAAGTCTTTGATGACCTAAATAGTTAGAAATTTGCTTATCAATTTGTAAAAATACAAATTTTTTCATTCCAACTTTTTCAATATCTTTAACCCTGATTTCTTTACTATTAGAGAAGAATGATGAAATTGAACGAGTTAAGACAGTGGTTAGAATAAAGAAAAAAAATGTATCACCATCTTTAGGGGTACAATAAAAGGAAAATTCAAAAAAGCATTGTGTTATGGATAAGAAAATGACAAAAAAGAAAAGTTTTTTTCCTATTTTAAATTTTGGTTTGGGCAGAAAGTAATAACTAATAAACATCCAAGAGGCAAGAGTAAAATGAATTAAGTCCGTAAAAAGATTTAAACCTTCTAAATTAATAATTATTAAAGTGGGAAATTCTTTAGTTTCTTTATAAATATGTTTCAAATCAAAAATCATGACTAAAATTGAATGGGCGAAACAAATCCATACAATAGAATGTCGGACCCAATTATAGTTAACTAGTTCATTTTTCATAAAGTGGAAAGAATATACTAAACCAGAAACAAACCAAAGAACAATTAAAAAACTTAATACAAAAAGTGATAAACAAACTATGACCGACGCATTAAAAAAAATTAAAGCAAGTTTTGCAGAAAAAAACCATGAAAAGATAGGTGTTAAAAGAAAGGTAAGAATTAATAAATCATCGACAATGCAAGTTGTTTTAAAATTAAGCTTAGAAGATACACCATAAAATGTAATAATGAAAATTAACCCTGCGACAGAACCAAAACTCGATATTTGCGAAATGATTGTGGTTTCCGAAGCTTGATTGTAATAGTTGCTTGGATTACATTCAAATGCGGATTCAAATATAGACACACTAGCATTTTTATATTTTGGCATAAAGGATATATTACTTATGCTTACATCTATGCTGTAATGCTCAAGAAAAATACAAATCAAATAAATAATCGCTAGCAAGGGACATAATACTAATAAGAATTCTAATAATCTATTAAGTGCCATGTTCTGACAATTCAGTATGATGTTATTAGACGAGGTTTTATAAACAAAATTTAAAAAGGTTTATAAATTTGTAACTGTAACCACACTCTGTAAAGCCAATCAAATCTCAAAAAATCATCAATATTTTGCCTATGAAACTACCCTTTATATCCTAACAAAAAATTTATTGCAAAATTTTGGTATAAATTATGCCCTGCCCAATCCTAACCCTGGACTAACCCTAACCCTAAATACGAAGTTCTATTTTTATAAAAAAAAAAGATTGTTTTAATATTCATATTACACCTGATCTTATTACGGTTATAATAAACTACGGTTACAAAAATTAATTCAATTTAAAAACCAATAACAAATATTACTTGTTATCTTAAAGTGGAAAACTTTATGAATCGGCCGAACATTTCAACTTTTTATTTATTTTCTTTTTCTTTGATTATTATCCTAAAATAATACTTATCATATATGCATATGCATGTAATTTTGAAATGAATTGTTATTCTCCTTTGTTAGAGGTTAAAAAAGAAAATTGCGAATTTAAGGAGGATCGAAAGATTTTTTTTTAAAGATAACGGTATAAAAGGTAATGATCTAGAAACAAAACCGGCCGAATTACAATGGTTGGAGAGACTGATATATCCAAATAGACAATAATAACCTTTTTGACAACCAAATTGGGATAAACTCCGATATCGATCAAGAAGGTAATCATTTATTGGTGGTAATTCATTTCATTGTCTTAATTAATGGAGGATAGCGTGATGGCACGAAGCCTCTTGCATAAGTAGTACAGTAGGTTCTAGAAAGGATATACTTTTCCTATTGACTGAAATGTATAAAAGCATGGGCATAAACGAGAGACAGAATTAAGACCTTGGACATCATAAATAAATTATGATCTCACTTTCGTTAAACTTAACTATCATTGACGTTCGAACTTCATCCCTTCCACATAACGGCTGGAGCTAAACCGCGCATGTACTTGCATCGCTCTCCCATTCAGTCATTACACTATTAAATAATTTTTAATTTGAATTTTTATATTCTATCGTTATCAATGAATCAATTCTATTGTTGAAAATTTATGCAATTCATTAATTATTTGATGTGTATCTCGATTTGTAGAACAGCATGGTAGAATTCAAAAAAGGAAATTTTGACAATGAAAATGATTAGTAATCATTGTTAAAATTTCCTTTTAGAATTTTACCAATACTGTACACATATATACCGTTAATTTAGCAATAATAGCGATAGCAAAATTTCCGTATATTATTTATCATGTGATCATGAGCCAATAAAATAACTTTTGATAAAGAAACTTTTAGTTATAAAGACATATAATAGTAAACTTTTATGAATAAATTAAATTCATACAAATACAATTTGCAATCTAAAATAAAGTCGAGGCCTAAAATTATTCAATTTTGAGTTTTAAATTGCTCATATTTATCATAATATTGTTAATAGTTATACAATATAATGCAGATCAATCGACATTTCATTTGACCGATAGTAAATTATTAAAACCGGCCTTGTAGATTACGAGATAAATGTCTTTTAGTTTTTTTACATTATGATTTTTTTCTTAATACCAGAAACTTTTGGCATTCCATCCAGTGTTCGAAATTTAAGATCTAAATACTGTTTTCATGAGAACGGTGTAATTATTATACGCGAAACCTTTTTTGCATGATGACGAAAGACGAAACCTAAACCCAAAGATGAAACCTTAAGCTTAAAATGACGAAACCTTATACATAAAATGACGAACCCCTAATTCTCCCGCTAAAAAATAAAAATAAAAACGATTGTTATATTCACTGAATAAAAATTCATAATTTATCTAGAGAGCATTTTCCGAAATTACATGTAAGCAGCAAAATAATTCAGTTATTTTTTCTGGGCAACGCTGGGTTGTTATAGGCCGGTTGAAATAACTGTCAAAAAGTCATAGTATTCATGGAATAACACAATAAATTAAAACATACTGGCACAAACAAATTTGTAAGACCAGAAAGCACCAAGAGACTTCTCACTAGAACTAATATGTAGTGTACTAGTATAATACAATATAGTAAACTCCCTTTAGATAATTCAAGCGCCTATTATATAAAAAAATTTTTTGTAATTTTTATAAATTTCTGTTTTGTTTATTTTTTATTAACACTATCTTCAATGAGTTTCAACAATATTTATCTGTATCTTCGTCGTTTTGTCCCCTTTGCAGTTTCGTCAGTTCGTCACCTTTCGTCAGTATCATCATCTTTCGTCAGTTTGTCATTTCGTCATTTAATATTTTAATTGACGAAAGACAAAACTAGGTTACGCGTTTCATCAGCACGAAACCTCGAGGTTTCGTCTAACAACTATAGGTGTTCTCAAACTGTTTTAGCAAAAACATTGATATTGACCTATTTGAGTCATCGTTATTAGTGATGCCGTTTAACATCGCTATGTTTTGGGTTTTACGCGATAAATCAGATTTTAACATAACTTATACCGTAGTTAAAATTAATAAAATAAAAAAGATATAACAGTAGTTAAAAATATTGATTAAAATTAAACTATCGCTATGATCAAATTACGTAAAAGGCAAACTACTGTATTATAATCAAAACAATCAACAATTTCAATAGGGTTCAGAATTAGCTTTTTTCAAAAATAAGTGGGAGTTTAATTCCGAATCAGAAAATTATATAGGCGTAGCCGGTGATAAAATTAGCTTTTTTGATAAACATTCACCGGTAAGCGATTATGTAAATAAGTACGTACTTTAAAAAATAGAATTTGTACGTCGCTTCTTTGAAATACAGTCAGACCTTCCTAAATGCAACCCCTCTAAATGCAACACATCTCTAAATGCACGATAGAAGACTAGCCCATAATGGGACTTACAGATAAATGCACGTTCTTTATTCTGCAATTTCACGCTAATTGTCTGGCCCACTGATATAAACTCCCTTCATAAATGCAACCACGTGATTATTAGCCAATCAAATTCATCATTTCTAGGCTACTAAAGCCATATTCATTACATGATAATAGTAACATTATGATTTTATTAGTGTTCTCTAATTGCAACCCTCTCTAAATGCACGCTCCAGAGCTGGTTCCGACGACGTGCATTTAGGGAGGTCTGACTGTAATAAATCACTTATCTGAAATTGGATGCCGAATCATTAATTCTGAGACCCAATATGTTGAATAATAATTTGAGTGCTACTAGCGATTATTCAGCTTCTTCAGATAATAAATCTAATTGATGAAAAATTGGAAAATACTATTCTGTCCGATGAAAGTATTGCCCTAAGCATTGTCAAGAATACCAACCGTAATGGAATTACATTTAGCAAATGAATGTTCTAATTGTCCAGAGGACACACAAAAATACAGGCAAGATAAAATTCATAATCGAAATAATAATTTAAATTCTTATTCTTTGTAAATATGCTGAATAAACTTTTCAATTTTTTATTTCATGTAAAATAAAGTTTCATTGTTTTATCGCAAGTATAAAACGTTTATAAGTTTATATTTTGATGACTTTCACGTTTTTAATCTAAGCCTCAAAAATATAAATAGTATTAACTTATCACGTGGATAGTTTATATTTTTATCAAGTTTTATCACGAGTATAGTCGGCATCACTAATCGTTATTACCCATCGTTATTGAAATTTGTATGACGTTTTAATAACGCGTCCATTTGTTTTTAATACTTTCACTCATTGAACCTTCTTTAACCGAAATAAAGCTTCGTATTTTATTATCCTGCGGGTCCAGAATAAGTTGAAGTCGAAAAAATTGAAAGCTGAAATTGATGTTGATGTTTAGAAAGTTGAAGACACCAGAGGGGTTTAAATAACCAAAGAAGCTTCCGTAGTTAACGCTACCATTATTAAATTCATTACTACCATCAGTTTAGTAACGATGAACTGCTGAGTTCTACTGTATAAAAAGGGTAAGTCTAAATAAATAATACTGTAATATAATAATTTTGAATTAATTAACTATAAATATGTTAAAACTAGCATACAATTACATAGATCATATGACTTCGCGCGAAGTGCGAGGTGGCGTCATTCAAGGCAAAATTCTGAGTTCAGAAGATTCATATAAATTATTACAAATTACTTACTGCTGAGTTTATTTTTTGATTAAAGATTTACCTTGCACGAGGTATGATGAATAATTTGTGCGAGGATGATGTTATTATATTTTGCGAGGCACATATCTAGTTAAACTGAGTAAAGAAATCATCAACTCATCATCCTCATCTAAAGTTACTAAACGATGTGCACTAGAAAATTTTTTTTCTGAAAAACAAACTGAATTAAAAGACAAGAGTTTGTAAAAGCTTTTTCAAGAAAAATATTTAATTAGATAATGAAAAGTCGAATACGAAAAAGTTGTTCAATGGAATAAAAAAATAAGATGAAACAAACGACTAACTTGTAAAGTAAAAGGTTAATTGAGAAATTGATATTTATAAATAAATGTTTTAATTCTCTCTTTGAAGTATTAATCGAAAGGCTTATATGACGTGTGATATTATACGTCAATATTATGTCGTAAATGCAACAATGTTTTTTTTTCTTTTTTTTAATAAGTCAATAAACAAATTTACTGATTTTTTAGTGAGTTAATCACGATGGTTCAAATAGATCAATATCAATGTTTTTGCGTTATTTTATGGTCACAAAAAAAAAAAAAAAGTATATACAGTATTTTAAAAAATACACACTATAGTAGTGCTAAGAATTAAAAATAGTGCTAATTTGTGATATTCACGTAGTTTTTTTTACCTCAAATCTTTGAAAATTTTATAAAAATTATATAAATAACTAAAGGATATGAAATACATATATATTTCTTAAT